CCCCAAAACCCCAAAACCCCAAAACCCCAAAACCCCTTCAGGACTAAAAATGATTGAAATTGTGAAAAATAATCTTACGAGATTCTTTCCGGCTTTATATTATAAAGCGTGACTATACTCCCTGAATAAGCACTCTTCTTTCCTCCTTGGTTAACTGAAGTTAGGTTGACAATTTCCTTTTCCTTAGGCTCAACTGCAATATCATCCCATTTCTTCTTCTTTGTGGCTGCTGAGCTATACTCGAGCTCAACGTTGAAATTAATATCATCTGTAAAATTCTCAAAAACTGACTGCTCGCCAGACTCCATCTCTTGCTGATCTTGAAGTGTATACTCAATGATGAGCTCACGCTCATCATCTTCTTTAGATTCCTCGTCATAAGTGGTGAGAATGTCCCTATATCGGTTAGAACGAGGCTTACTTGAAAATGAGCTTGGAAAAACATGGTTTGGCATCAGCCCCAGACTCCTTGATCGCACATAAAGAGATGTTGCCAATCCTCTCATCCTCTTTTAGCTTATAAGTGTAAATCTTTTTGTTCTTAAACCGCTCTAACTGGCAATGCTTGTCGATCTCAGTTCCAGAGATTTTTATATAAAGATGCTCCTTCTGGGTTTCTGTTTTCAGTACGAGTTTTATATCTGTAAACACTTTTTCTACTAAAACTTTAGACTTCCTCCTAAAGAACCTTGATGAACTAATCACGGCTAGGGAAGTTTTAGTCTGCTTCATTACAGGAGTAGCCTTGGATATTAGGATACTTTCTTTGGTTTCCTCATTCAGAGGGATTTTCTCTTCTTCATCATCAGGCAAATCGCTCTCTCCTTCAGACTCGTCCTCTAAATTCTGTCTCTGATAGTCCTTTCCAAGGGAGATTCTGTCTTGAAGCCAGGATTGCATTGTTCTCATAATTGTTGGTGAGTATCTTTTGTAATAAGTCCTGCTGATCTCTGTCTCCTGGTTGATATAAATCGAGCAAACTAAATTTCTTCAATGATGATTATGGTCCCATTTTGGCAATCAAAACACAAGATATTGCCCACTTGGTAGATCCTTGAGTTCAACCTGGACTGAGGAAAATTGGGCAGCATCTCCATCAACAAATTTCAGCTGATCTCCTACAACTTTGGCTACCATTACTTTGACTCCTGCATATTGGAAAGACTGATTTTTTGTATAAAATCTCTTATTTAGCTGGTTTACAGACAAGAAAACCTTCGTCTTCATTTTCGACTTGTTTACTCTAAATTGGAATATAGAATATTCTTTTCAAGTGTCAATATCATAGTAATACTGAAAGTCCTCTCCCTTCTGATACTTGCATACAGAAGTGTTGTAATAATATCCGAGATAGTTCTCAAAATCGATATAAAATACACCGTCTTCACGAGCTTCGTAGTTCAACTTTCTTTTCAGGTCATCAGTCCAGTTTTTCTTGTCGTGGTCTGACCAGTCTCCCTTCCACTCTTCGAACCCCCAAGGATTTCTTAATTGAAGAAGTCTGACTTTGGACTTATCAGAGGTCATGATTGGTTGAGCTTCAATAAGTGTATACGCATGGGCATCTACAATTCCAAAATCTTTGAGTTGGTCACTCTGCTTGCCCGTCCTCTTACTGGAGGCTGAAGTAGCTATCACATACTTGTTCTGGTCGGCGTTAAAAATCCTTCGCCAGAGAATGTCCTTGTTAAACACCTGGTTGTGAAAAATATAATCTACATAAGCTCCGGTGATGACCATCAAGGCCTCAGCAGTGTTTCCTCCTTCTATGCGCTGGTAGTTCCCATGAACTTTAGCCCAAGCTTTCTCTAAAAGAAGTACCCAGATCTCGTTGTCTACTGATTTTGAGAATGCCCAGTCCTCGTTTCTTCCTGAATATGGGAAGTAGTCGTCAATGTAGACTGTTCTTTTCTCCCCAGTGATGTACAAGGTCACTTCGTAAAAGCCTATAGAATTGATCTTATTGATTTGGAATATTTTCCTGACTCTATCAGGAAACTCAGCAAGACCACTCAGAGCTGAGAGGTAATATCAGTCTCCTCAATAACCTTGCTTGATATCGTTTGGATGAATTTCTCGGAAAATATCATAATTGCCTTCTCCATACACCTCAGAAGGGCGTTTCCAAGTAAACGCTTCCCAAGTGTCAGCCATTGGGTGTCTGCCCATCTTTGAGTCAAACAGAGACTGCTGTGATGGTGGGAAGTATGGGTCTACAAAATCAAAGCTCTGGAGTTGTTCAACCTTCAGACCCCTGGTGTCTGCATAAAGGAATTCCTCAGTATTTCCCAATTTCTTGTTAAGTTTATTCAAATCATTCTGTATAGCAGATCTCAATTTCAAATACTTGTTCCTCTCAGTTGAAGTAGGCTGGGCATTCTTGCCATGAACCTTCTGGTCAAGTTGACATAATTCAAGGATATCTTCTCTGAAGGGAAGGGTTGTTAGAACCTTCTCGTAAGGAAACCTCTGTACAGTATTCCGAGGCTCTCTTAGATCCTTATTAAAGTGCCCAGCAATGTTAATTGATTTTTCCTTAGATTGAAAACAGCCCATGAATTTATTTCAATTTTTAATTTTATTAGGGGTTTTGGGGTTTTGGGGTTTTGGGGTTTTGGGG